TTTTCATCCAACGCCGTTGGACGAGATCCGATGGTGTGGTAAGCCATCGGATCTCACCGTTGATCATTTTTTCGTCCACGACTAGTCATCAAACCGTCGTGGACGTTTCTCATTAATACTTCCTGTCTCATTTATCCGATTTTTCTTTTCAAAGTCTAATCTCTTTGATTTCAGATCGCGTGGATCGGGACGTTGGATGGACCAGGGTTCTGGATTCGCCGACGAGTTTCGTGAAATTCAATTGATCATCGAACTAATTCGACAGGTCATTCAAATTCATAACTCTGTTCATTCGTTCACTCATTTACTTTCCTTTCCTCTCATATAATCCAAACAGTGCCAGTAATCAATCTAGCACTAATTAATTATTTAACTGTTTCACCAAAAATTGAGTGAAGTTTGTCTATAAAACAGTACATATTGTAAAACAATTCATTTTCATGTGTTGAATCTACCGCATCCGGATGAATGGAAGCCGCGATTACGAACAATTTGAGGGTGAGGATTATAGCAGTATCACTTTAAATTCGTTCTAATTTTCGATTTATTTATTTATTTATGGATAGGTTCATTATTAAGGTTCAACGAGAAAATAAATGCAAAATGACAGACGATGTGATCTGTTTTGAATGATTACGACAAAGTTCTCGCTGGTGATGATTAATTCGCCTTCTCTATGCGCGCTTCAAGATGATTTCATTGGATGAGTTGTGCACACATCCGCGCGATAATCGCCATTCATTGGTGCCTTTGGGTACCTTATCGATAAATTCGTTGGCCTTTTAAGAGCTCTTGCATTAGTGAATCATCATTCAATAATACCTGGCAACAAATCGTTCATCTTCCAGTAAAATGTCAAAATTATGCGATCCATTAACAACAAACTCCACGCATCAATAATGAGGTAAATCCTTACTGAAAGATATGCTGCTCGTACTTTGCCGAATCGCTCCCTATGATTCATTTGCATTCAAAATCTGCATTGATGGTAAGTGGTTAAACTTGCGAGATTGGGTAGTGAATGGAATAGGATCAGTTGAAAAGCTAGGAGTACAACTCATCTATGCGGGTGAATCCATCAACAAACTGGACGATTTGTGAATTTAGTTCCATTTTGTACTGCATGGTGTTGTGCGAAAATTTGTGAGAAATTAAGTTTATGCATGCGATTCGCAATAACGAATATGCAGAAGAGTTGAGTGCCGCAGTAATTTGTACGAAATGGTGATGGTTAACGACACTGCAATCATGTAGAGCGTATCTCACAATCAGAGGTCAAAGGTTTCCATTCAGAAGATTCAGAAGATATACTTTCTTATTTGCATTGATCAATGAACACAACACGTTAGTATTATAGGGTGTCCATGTTCAAATACCTGTGGGCCCAACTACGGTAACTAGCCACGCCCACAGATTACCGTAGTAAACTGCCTTACATTCTTGCATGAATGCGTGAAAAAACTTTTAAAGTGGGCGTGGCCTAAGTGTGAGCCTAGCGTACTACTGTAATTTGTGGGCGCGGCTAGTTACCGTAGTTAAGTGAGCCCACAGGTATATCATGAATCTTTCGCTTGCAGCTTTTGGGCCTATTCCTCGCTCTCAGGTGAACCCTCGTCGCTCCAGGAGAAACCCTCGTCCGTCTTCGAGAAACCCCCTAGGAAACACTACCCCCTATCGAATCAACCTTCCCAAAACCCTCTCCCGTCTCGAGGGAATCAATCCTTCCGTTTCGTAATACGCCATATCATATCATCAGCGCGTGTCGTAATACGACTATAATGTGTTTACATTGCTCAAATCGAACGCGAACCAACTATTTGGGGTCAAATAACCAGTTACTCTTATCATTGATAGTAATCATATTCAGTCACGTTGAACTTATTCAGTTTCCATTCGGCTGGGAGCTAATTGTCCTAGACCGCACACAAAGCAGTTTCCTCTGCTTCTTCAATGCTAGGGCGCGCGCACGTAAGAAGGTGCTATTTGTCTCCTTTTACACGAACCTACAAATGCTTAAGCGTTAAGATTTTAGCGGTGTCCATTTTAAAATTGTTCTAGACGTATCGGCTACTTTTTTTATTGTTCTCACTTTGTGCTATCGATCCGGGTGCTGAATCGTTCTATTGCAGATATAAATAGTTTAGTGGTAATTGGATAAAGAAGATGGGTGAGAACGTTCATCCGGCAGAGACAATCAATAGCAGTAGTGGTAAACGATGCAAATTGGTACCGCTGAGTGGATTGAGGGTATTCGAATTAAAGGAGGAATTGGGTAAACGAGGACTGGATAGGACGGGTATCAAGGTGGCGTTGATCGAACGTCTTCTTATGGTTATTCTTCTATCGTTTTTATTTCATTCCTTACTGCTAAATCGTACCTCGTTTTAAAACAATCGTTTGGAATGTTCTCTTCATTATGTCGATAATTATTTTAGAATAACTGTTCAACTGAACAGCCATATTGCTCATAATTTAATTCAAAATGTGAATATTGTCAGGCAATACGTAATGAAGGGCACAATCCAGAAACGTATCAATTTTCTGTGGTTGAATATTCGAAAGATTCGTCTTGTTCGTCGACACCTCTACAGTCTCCATCGAGTACTAATGGTTGCCTTTAAAACATTACCGCACTTGTTACTCTTATCATTGATAACAATCATATTCATTCACGTTGAATTTATTCAGTTTCCATTCGCGAATCTCATCGTTTTTGCCTTCGCCCTTTTCTCATCAAAGGTATTTATACACCACAACAATTTCCGACTGTTTCATGGCCTATAAACGGTATTCGATCATGGTTTCAGCCCCACCGCTGTCTTCAGATGAGCAAGCCGAGAACAGCGCTGAAGCAAAAGACTCGAATGTGTTAGACTCGTCGTCGGAAACTGCCACATCTCATCCGGAAAGTCTGCGCACGGTAATTGTCGCTGAATATTTTGTTTTGTTTGAACATCTGCAAAATTCAGTGTTAGCCATGTATGTAATAATGTGGGAAGAGAATGTGAGAAGTCTTTCGTGAGTTGTACGATTGAAGCGTGTGAAGTGTTCGACTGAGGAAAGCGCGTGCATCTTGAACGCTTCCACTTTTCACTGGAATTATTTGGATTTTCATCTGTGTTGACACGAAATTGTTGAATTCAATAGTTGAATTATTTCTTTCTTGATGGAGATTACGACCGATTATCGACTCTATCAAATGAGTTTACCAATAATTACCGATTTGTGAATGGTTGTGTCCAACATTAGAATTATTCCACTCTTATACTGTTGTACTGTTGAGTAAAGATGCAGATTTATGTGTAGGGCAGTGAACGTCGTATTTGTACATTCGACTGTTATGCAATCGAATGTACAAATACGCAGAAACATTCAGTGTGATGTATTGAATATTGTACAAGTAAGTATATTGCACAATGCCTGCGCTAAATGCAAAATCAATTAAATGAATCAACTCGTCTCTCGAAAGATGTCGCTCATCAATATTTGTCTCTCAAAATACACTCTCGTAGTGTTGAAAGTTGCAGATGAGTGATGAAAAAGAGTCGGACGCTAAAGAAATTGAGGATGCGAACGCGTTGAATGAAGAACGAAAAGAGCATGCAGATAAAATTGACGAAGAAGACGTCAAAATTAGTCGAGTACAAGATGATACGACTGGCAAAAACAACAGATCTGATGAAGAGAGGTCAGTGAATATGGCCGGTGGTCAAGGTGAAGCTCAAGTCGAGCAGGGAACAACGATGAGAAGTAGTGCACAGTCTTCTTCTTCATCTCCGCAAAATCATCATTCACTGTGGGTGAGAGGAATTGGTGCAAATACAAAGGCTTCCGATCTGAAGGTATCTATCTATCCATCCGACGAAACGCTTCTTTGATTTGATTTTCCTTCTTATTGATCATCTTCTTTATTAATTTAATCACCAATTTTGACTACTTACTACGAATAGACCTCATCATCAATTACCATTTTTATCACTGTGCCTTCCTTTCTGAATAGTCAGCGTTTTTCCAATGAAATGACATTAATCTCGGTGAGGAACGATTTTAAGTCAATCGTTGAACATATGTCAGTATCGTATGTGCCCTTATCGTATCTTTTCGATCAGCGATTGCCTCATGAAAATATTCATTATGAGTGTTAACACCTCTCTCTCCCCAGTCAATCCAATGGCAAAATCAGAACCCTTATTACAGAATCTATTCTCACGATGTGGTCATGTGATCAGTGCAAAAATCTTTATACGTCGTCAACAACCCAAAAATCTTTATATTGGTTTCGTAACAATGATCGATTTGGAAAGTGCAAAACGATCGATAAAAACGTTCAATAAAACTATTTTCAACGATCACCCACTCAATGTTCAGTTGGTTAGTAGTGCTTATTTCTGATTTTTTTATCGCTTCCTCTCAACAAGTGTGTCTGTTTTATTTTTTATGTTCTGTTTATTTATATTCTATATTCTTCTATTTTTCTGCCTCTTCTATTCATTCTGTTTCATAATATAATGAGTGTCGTGCAGTTCACTTGCTTAATTCATCGTTCATCTTCGTAAGAAACAAAACCTCCACTGAGCAGATAGATCTCAAATCTCTGAATTTGCATTTGCTGGCCACATACTATTAATTATCTGGTTTCGTATTAATGATATAAGATGTTGTTCTAAAAATAAGTGGAATTCTATCATCGAAGTAATCCTTAACGGTGCAAGAAGTTGCGTGTGCAAATGTTTATGATGTTCGTGTAATGTATGATATGAGGGGATAAGTTCATTGAATGTTCGGAGTGAAGTTTGATATGTGCACCGTGCTCTAGGTTGATAAATCGAAAGCGTTCTCAATAAAAGCAAAAAACGCTGCAAAAACGCAGCTCGATGTCAAGCAATCGAGCGATGCTACACTCGATCAATCGTCACCTGTCGAAAAGAACGTCGCTCCACAAAGTGACACTCAACCGAATCAAAACGTTTCTGAGCAAATCAATACCTCTTCATCAGATAACGAACTTCACGTATGTGTTGTTGTTGTTCACCCGTTCCTCTTCGTTGCATTCATGATCAAAGATTGTCGTTTCAGTGTCTCATTTATACGATTTGTTGTTGTTTTTTTTTTGATGACCTACTTGCATTTTCGTTAGCCAAATCTCGTTATTTTTGGGAGAGTGTAAGGGAAGCTTGATTGTAGAACTATAGGTGAGATGTAGAGCGGTGAGGTTCAAAGCAACTGGAATCATTAAATCATCCCGAAGTAAGAGGAGAGATGAAAAAGCCTGGAAGAGATCAGGACGCGTTCCATGGATTAACTGTATCTTCAGTGCTTTTTTTTGGTGTCTTCATATGAAATTATTCATTTAAAGAATTTGTTTCATTTCATAATGAGAATGACGATTTTAGATAGACGAAAGGGAAGAATCGCCTGAGAAAGAGAATAGTGAAGTGAATGTAAGAGCAGTTGAAGAGGATACAATGAAAAAAGATCAACTCGAAGAAACGACCAAAGAAATGGTAATGAACGATTTCGAAGCAGATCAACACGACCACCAGAGGAGGAGTGCTGAAGATGTTCGGGAGAACGAAGTGAAAGCAGACGAATGTGTGCACGCTGAGGATCGATGCAGTGATAAGGCAACACCAGAGAAAATCGTTGAGAAAGAGAGCGGCTCAACGTCAAATGTCAACACCCCGAATGAAATTCTGAAACAAACTCAGCCAAAACTAACAAACGAGCTTCTGAAGTCAAATAATTCACTGTGGATTCAAGGCATCAGTTCGGATACGAAAGCAGCACATCTCAAGGTATTTTGTGTTATTTTATGAGACAAATTATTGTGTTGAAGTTTTTACAAAAGTTTTTTCGTGGCATTTCATCAACTGTTACGAAGAAAGTAACATTTTTCAAAACTTCGGTGTGGACAGAGATGCCTCCACTCGCTCCGTTCCCTCATCTTTCCGGTTCCATTTCGGTTCCGGCACGTCGTTGAATTTGTTGTGCGTAGCATATAATTGGAAGTGTTCTTGTAGACGATGTTCTCGAAGTGCGGTCGTGTGCTGACATCGAAAATATTCGTGAAACGTCAACAAATGTCGAATTCATATTTCGGTTTTGTGGCCATGATCAACAGTCAATGTGCTGACGAATGTGTGAAGCAGTTTCATAATGCCGTTCTTAACGGACAGCAAATCAGTGTTGAAAGGGTTCGTTCACTTCATCTTTGTTTTTTCGGTTTTTTTCAGATGGAAGATTCCTTTCTGAACGACTTTTATTTCATTCGGCTGATTCAAATATGCTTATCATGCAGAATTTCAACGATTTGTACGTATGATACTGATAATCAAGGTAGCCATGTGGAACAAAAGACTCAAATGAGTTCTGGATCTTGTAGAATTAATGTCGCGCGAGTGGACATTAACATATTGTCATCGTTGACGTGCATCTAGGTTATGTGCTTGATGAAGGATTTTTGAAAAATAACGCAAAGTAGGCAGTTGATAAATTTTTTGAGCGCTGTCATATTATGGTATGTTTAAGGCTGATTGTGTGGATATGGCCGTGCGCATTCCGGAGATGAAAAAGAAGAGCGAAAGTGATGCTGAACAACGGACAAGCAGTTCGGAAAAAGACTCGAAGAATTCAATGAAAGGAACTAAAAAGCATTCAATTGAGAGTAAGAAAGATGAAAAAAATTCGGCATTCAAGAAGCCGAGTTCACCATCTGATAAGGAGACTAAATTGGGCAAACGATCCAGCAGCCGTCATCACCGTACATCTCAAAGTTCAGGTATTTATTCTGCTGACAGCATTCGTGAACCTTAAAAAAGATTATCTGCAGTAAAGTACCATTGCTCATCCATTGTCGCCGTTATTTGGTGTTCCCTCTATAGAACACTTCATCCCTCTGTTTATGCCGTGTGGTTTTAAATAATTTATGAATAATATACGCGCGTTTCTCCCGGATTTTTGTTACATTTCGCTTCTGTCAGTGTTCTTCTCGCAGATCATTTCTCTTCTCAAAATCGAGGATCCCCATCGTTGATGTGCATCGTAACCAGTCTATTTCGCTATTCAGCGATAACAAATACGTATCTTAACAATTATGATTTATCGTAATTTTAGCGGCAACACGGTGAATCTATTCAAAATTTTAATAGATTGTAATCTGTTAAATCAAACTTCATTATTATCAACTTATATGCTGATCGTCACTGTTTTCATCTAAGAAATGGGGCAGTATCCATTTATTCAATGAATTAGAGGTAAACATTGTGCACAGGATTTCTGATTTGCAAACTGAAAAGATTTGCCATTCGAGATGGATGAGGTGAATGCATTCGTCTTCGTGTTAAGCAGCGTTTGTTCCGTGGACGAAGAGAACTCAACTGAAGGAAATATCCCCACGTGGATTCAGAAAGAAGGGAAATATCAATTTATCGAGCAACAAAAAATTTGATCGAAATATTTATTGAGTCAGACGAGAATTAGTTCAGAATTGCACGAAACAAAACAGTGGCATGGGTGGACTTGTCGTATATCTGACAAAAAAAATAATGGATGCAAACAAGATTAAGAAAATTGCAGAGTACGAAGTTGCAGACATAAATTTGAGATTGTTAATATCGTTTTACGGTGATAAAATTCGTTTACCGACAAGTACAACTATCAAGTGGTTTAGTGGTAACAATCGGAATGCCGATGCTCCGGCGAGGTGACTGCAGTCATGTTGACGTTCCTGACTGGAAGGATATCCACTTGATGAAACTGATCGAAACATTGAAATCAAAAGCCGCTTAAATGGAACGGAATGCTGCGATTTGTCTCAAATGAAGCGAGGAGTTTTCAGCGTTAAGCCAAATGATCGTTGTAAAAACCATGAATTAGGTTTCGGAGGGACGTCAGGATGATGGATGAGATTCGATCCCGTTTATCCACTCGCTTATCTATCATCTGTGCTGATAAATGCCAGAGATAGCTTATGAACAATTCCAGCAGCAACAGAACAACTGAGGTCACAACCTCCATGGAATTGCTGAGGAATATACTTTAATATTCAGTGCGATCAGTGATCAGTGAGCAAGCAAAAAAGGATTGAAGTACACAAGATGACCAACTGAAAACACCGATTTGTACATCGAATTAGTTGAATTCATTTAATCCCACTGCACTGTCTGGCTAAGAAAGGCAGGCGTTCATGCGAAGTGCAAATTCATCCTGAACGTTGGAATGGCTTAAACGCTTATGGGTGCCACGTATTCCAGCTAACAAGTCGAGCGATAGTCATCAACAATATTCATACATCTGAACTTATTAAGTGACACCAACACTCAGTGATATTTACAAATATATCAGTCACAATCTTATCGGCAAAAATGGATTCCAAATGTTTTATTCGATGAGAGAAATGTGTCTTCAAGCAGAAAATCAGCCAAGTGAATGGATCGAATTTCATGAAAATAGTTTCAGTTTTCTTTTTGAACACTTCTCGTGAAATCTCATTGATAACTGGTCTCAATAAATGCTTTCCAGTGTTGGTTGAATGATTTGACTTTAATTCATAATTATAAGAAAATGCCTATTGAAGTCATGCAATTATTAGTTTGACGTTAGATTGAGAAAGTATTGATACGGCGTTCCTGTCATTGAGAAAGTAACAAACCACGTAATTTCATTACTTTCATCATCATTCCAAAATCGTTCCAATCTGATCGGAAAATTCCATTGTGAAAGTTTCGTCGAGAGTTGAATGTTAAGTGGATTCAAATTCAAGTTGAGATTAAACGAAGCAGTGGCTAAGGTTCTAGAAGCGCATGTGGTTGATATCATTTTTGTTCACGAAAGTAGCGGTATTGTCATTTCATTATTGTCATTAATTCGGTACTAATTAGATGTTGAATGGTGAAACATTTAGGCTCGAGTAAGCAAGCTATTCTCATCTCATCGAGAGCTCTCGATGAATATAAATGGAAACGACGAAAGGTGTTGCAAATGCGTCAGGCGGCTCGAAGATATCGCCCGTCAATACGGCCACCAACTGTTTCCGATGACTTGTTGGCACGAGCGCATAAACGTGATATACGAAGCAATCGTTCGTCAGCATTTCCGAAACCAAAAAGTGCACCCCTGCCGCTGTCTGCAATATCACTAGTCACTGCAGCCAAGACGTCACGCACTCGGCGCCGTTCACCCCCTCCAGGACCATCGAATATGATGCGTCCAATTTCAAGACGAGAACGGTTATTCCCACCTCGTCGTCCATCACCTCCATATCGTCGCTCACTGCTCACATCAAATCCGCCGAATGTGTTTGAGGATCAGAAGCGTTCCCCACCTCATCTTCTACCGATCGAAGATGATCGTCCAGTTCGTCATCGTCTCTCACCTCGCGCTATTTCACCGTCGATGTTCGTTGATGAACGCGGGATTGGTCGTGATGTTGTTCCACCGCCATCACACTATCGTCGTCGATTATCTTCACACTCACGTTCAAGATCGCGTGAATCTCGACCTCGTTTCGAGCATTCGTCACCACCACTACCACCACCAGCACATACTCTTCCGTGGAGCCATGATATGTGTGCAGCCAGAAAAGAAGAGGAAGAGCAAATGCGTATTCGTGAAGAGGAACGTGCGTTGCACGAAGAACGAAGTCGGCTGAAACGCGAACGTAATCGCATCGAACGTGAACGGAAGATGATCGAAAAAGAGCAGTTGAAGAGACAGTTGCGTTTGAAGGTTGATATGGAACGTGCAGCAAAACGTGAACAAGAGATCGATTTGCAGCGAGCACATGATCTGGAAAGGAAACGTGCCGAGGATAGCGATCGTGCTGCCGAAAAGGGTCTCCTCAACGCAGAAGTGGAGTTAGCGCAACGTGAACGACTCGCTGTTGAACAGAAACGCTTGGAAGCTGAACGTGAACGTGAACGTGCGGAACGTGAACGCATCATGGCAGAGCGTATCGCAGTTGAACGTGATCATGCGGCGGAACGTGAACAAAGACGAATGCGTAAAGAACGATTCGCTGAAGAGAAACTGAGAAGAGAAAATGAACGCATGGATCATATTCGAGTCGAAGAAGAGCATAAGAGAGAGGAACGGCTCAGACTGGAACGAGAACGTGTGCATGCTGCAGGAGAGAGAGTTGATCGTGCGGAACGATTCAAACTAGAGCATCACCGGATTGCGGAACAGCAACGAATGCACAAGCAACATGAGCGTGAACGAATCACAGGGGCAGAACGTGATTCGCTTCGTTCTAAACGAGGGATCCGGGACAGGACTAGTTTACATGTAGAACAGCAACAGAGTTTGGCAATGGAACGTGAATTACTGGAAAAAGAGCGGGTGGAACGTGTGGGTTTGAGGCCGAAGAGACCAAGGAGAGATTCGTCAAACGCAGAAAAGCGTAGAAGAGAAAGTCTAACTAATGATGATGGATTGCGGAATGCGGAGCCATCGAGACATAAACAAGACTTGTCATCATCATCATCATCCTACAAAGGATATAGCACATATGATGAAGACAGTCAAATCAAGAAGCAATTAAGTTATATAGAACGTGAAAAGATGGAATTGGAGCAGTTGAGAAAGTTAACGGAGATAACGACGTCAAGTATGTTATCGACAAATTTTGGTTCATCATCAAATTGCATTGCAGATAATAATTTCATTAAGAGTGACCACAGCATTGATCATTACAGGTACGATTTTAATAAAACGCATGCTGATATATGTATTTCATTCGTTTATTCATTTACACAACAGACAACTTGGACTATATGTTATGCGTTCATTACTTACAAATTAAAACTGATGATGTCGTGCCCACAAATCTCTTGATGGGGAATTGCACGTTTCGTAGGGAGTTTTGATCACAGATCGTTCCACATTCTCCGTTGACGTCACATTTGCCAACTTTCACGTTGCTCAAATTGTATGAAAATAATTTTTCGTTTTGCCACTCGAATGCGTTTTTTTGTCCTAGAAAGTGGTACTTTAAGAAGTTCTGACTGAAATAATTTGGTTGTCAGTCTCTGTTCATCAATGTCCACTTCAATGAATGAGTTATTGGCGTATTCCCTATGAGAAGTGAATAACATTTGAATTTGATTAGGTACTACGATGAACGAAATATGCGAGTCACTGAGCATTATCCCGATTATCGTCAAGATGATCGGGTGCCCAATTATACGGGTTTATCAAGCACGATTGTATCCGGGAATGCACCATCACCATCCCGTTACGACAGCCAACGTCAATACCAGAATTTGAGACACGGTATTGATGTTACTATCATTTCGTATATCTTTCACAACTTGTGCTATTCGTTCCCTTTTTTAATAATTCATTTGAAAACGATCTAACTTCATATCTCAGCCGTTCTTGTCCAGCAAAGAATGCTTGAAATTCGATATGCAGTATTGTTTGATTAAGTAGAGATTTTCTCCATCCAAATCACTCTATCAATTCATATTGCAGAAATGCGAAATTTAATGATTGTTGTGTTTTAATTGCAGATATGTCAAGTATTTATCCATACGATAGTAATCCGTCGGATCAGCAAAATGCGGCATACGACTATCGTTCTAATCTGAATTTACAGCCATACACGCACCAAGAGTCAGGATACAGTGCGTCTTTTGTATCGAGTTATATAGTCTTTTTTACTTATTTCGAATTGATTGTCTTGAATCTGTTGATGATATCGAGAATGAGTCTCTTCTGCATCACCCGAAATGTTCTAGAATTGTCAAGTAAAGGTGGTTTTAAGACTTTCGTTTTATCCTATATGCAAATTGTAGCAGTCAATTTTTATTCTAGACAGAAGTTGAGCTTGAAATTGTTGAGTTTCATCAACTTTCACACTGAATCGAATTGTGTTGAGTTAGGTATCAATTAATTAAACAATAGCATAATCTGTAATATATCGGGCGTTATTCAAGGACCGAGCGAACGAGACGTGAATGAATATAATCGTTACACGACCATTGATTCTGGACATCAGCGAGGTAATAATGATTGCTCCTTTCGTAGATGTCCATCAAGGATGATACGTTTCCGGTTAACGCCCAAACGAATCAGTCACTTCACAGTTCTCAACCTGTAATATGACTGATATGCAATGTATCATAATTTGTCTCATTCTTATTCTCAAAAGAATAAATTAAGGAGATAGCTGCAAAGATGTGCCGTTGAATGCCACTTCTGCATCACGCTATACGTCGTCTCTGTCGTCATCAGTAGCATCGCGTGGCCCTTGGACAGCTCACATTAATCCGATTGCTAGTAATAGCGGTAGTAATAATAATGCAAATCAAGCAGAAGGTGGTTTGAAACCATATACGGGCTACAATATGAATGCAGCAGTTGATAGCAATAAATGGCAATGGCCGTCATCATCACAAAGTATGATGCAACAACGATATATAGGCACCAGTGATAATGTCAGCAGCAAATGGCCAATTTCACAGCAAGGTTGTTGTATTTCTGCTCATTTGCTGTCATTATTACTACTATAGTATAATAATATTACTGCTATCACCTTGATTATTATTATCATTGATCATTAAAGGAATGTGGCGAAATGACGACAAGAATGTTGATCGGAATGAAGCAACGAATACGTCGGCATCGTTTATGAACGACTATGAATCGAGCTATCAGAATCAAGGAGCGATGTCGAAGAGAGCGATTGAATTGCGAGATGTCCTTCGTAAGTCGTACGTAGCTGAGTCGAATCCGATCAGTGCCTATGATTTGAACACATCGAAGAATATTCCGTCATCAGTCACTTCCAGTCGATATCGTGCAGGTGTTCGACTTGCTTATTGAGTCATTTTCTTTATCCATTTGGTTATTTATCTTCTTTCCTTGATCATTTGATATAATAAATTATTTTCAGCGAGTATTTTTCTTTAGCTTTCGGTTTTGTCATTCGTAATCGTTTTATGTGGTTCCTTAAATAACACCTCTGAAAAGTATGATGCACTCGAATCATTGGTTTGGTCAAATTTTTAAGCAAAGAGAATAAAGGAGGATGTTTTTGGAAGATGCCAATTGCAATCATGCGATAAATGAAATACAGCAGAAATCTGCAAATATTCCAGCTGTTAACACTAATCGTAAAATGAATGTTTTCAAACAAAAAATGCGTCTCAAAATGAGGAATACGTTTCTGATGCACATTTGTAATATCATTCGAGAATTTAAGGAATGAATTGGCCGAGTGGTAGTGCTCGATTCTGATTGCACTTCAAGGATATCGCCACCGAAATGAATCGCGGCAGTGAAAATATCAGCAACGAATTGGTGATGGGAGAAATTTGAGAGTTTTGATTGTTGTTGTTATTGTTGTTGTTTTTTATGTATTTGGCCTGTTCTTCCTCTTTCGTGGAAGTTTTATTCGTCATATATTGATCGATGATATATTAATGAACTGATCATTTTAATGTGAGCAAATGGGTAAAATTGATCTTTTAATTTTTTTTCAAAAGCAGTAAATCAAAGTTTTATGACGTTGAAATGTGAGAAGTTGTTTTGTAATTTTCGTGTATTTCTGTTTGCACTTTGGCGTTCTGGTGTAATTTTTGTCATTTTCGTATTGCTTTAGCCATAATTGAATGCATACATAGATTTTTGTTGATGATTTCTTTGCGATTTTAATGTTTGTTGTGTTGGCGTCGTTTGATGAATGCCCGATTTGTTGGTGAGAACGTTTACTTTTGCGTATTTCTATCTCGTTTTAAAGTTTTATTGTTTCATGCTCTCATCAAGTTTCATTCTCATTCGTTCGCTTATTTTTCTCAACAATTATTTGAATTTCTGTTTTGTTGAATTATCGAATTTGAATTTGAATTATTCGCATCGTATTTGGAATGGAGTTGTTAATGTTGCATTCGAGATGCGCGACTGCCATCAACAGTGTCGGTCGTGGGGCAGTTTCCCAACGGGGACCCCGTTCCTTCGCTCCCCAACGGGGTTCTCCCTCGCCGGCTAAATAGTTGATCTCGACGAACAAGAATTATCACTTATGATTAGTATATAAATTCGGGATCCTGTCGTGAAAATAACAAAACAGTTGAAGAAATGTTGTTCGTATTCAGTGTTGATTCGTTTGAATCCAAAATGTGATCTATCGCTCGATTGATCCGTATGAATTGTTGATGGTATTAAGTTTCCAAATTTTCAAACAATTTGATGTAATCTTAATCCATTTCATATAAAATTCATCTCAATCCTGTAAAATAATATTATCGTTTGCACGATTAAGATCTATTGTCCTTTGTACAATTGAATGCTTCGACTTTTATCGAAATGACTGTTTTATTTTCAACAGCTGTCTCATTCACATTTTCTGTCACGTTTGTATTCCATTTTGATGCTTGTCATTATGCGTTCCAAATTTCATAAATTACATTTTTTAATTTCCTTTTAGAGATGAAGAACTTTTTTATAACCATAGCAATCCTTTGTATGATTATTTCACAGTGTTCTGCTAATGTGTATATTACTACTTCAGATTTTACTTTTCAATTGATGGGTTTATGAGGAGCTATATTTTGTCAGTTATTTTGAATCTGATGAGAACAGATCATAGAACTGCCACCAGCGCCATGGGAGGAGAACCGCAAAAGATTTTATATTGCTGACATTTTAAATAATCCTTCAAATCGACAGAAGATTCAGAGTGTTTAATTGGAAAATGAGACTGGAATTGTAAATTTAATTGGCCTTCCATCCACTTCGCAGATGACCCTTCAGATTTTTGGCTACGGTTGCGGGCTAATCTCAGACTTTGTGTTTATTCAGATTCCGACTGATTTTGAATCTTCTTTCGAAGCTGTCACCTTCATTAAAATCTTTAATTGAGATCACAGCAGAACGAACGTTCATTTGCATGCGTTGTTGTTATATGATGTGTCATACTTATCGTAACGTGATTTATTGCAGTTTTTAGATATCAAATCGATTGGAGTACGGTGTCATCAATGATTTTGATTAATCGTAATCTATATATCTGATCTGAATTAATAAATGTTTTTTTTTCTCAAGAATTTCATCGAAGCATTAAACTCGAACTTCCGAACATCTCAGTACATAATGATATTAGTACCGTTTAAGTGCCCGTATTAACTGATAAATTGATTAAATAGAATGCTCATTTATGTTGGATTTTCAAGCAGCAAACTCGACAGAGTGAATACATTTATTAAACTGATAACAATGGAGTAGCATAAAATGAAGATGCATAAACGTGGACACTTAGTTCTCATCCAATAACAGTATGACACTAAAAAGAAATGAAATGAACATGCACCGCGAGTCAACCAACACATCTACAAATGAGTCGAATGAAGAGTTAAGTACGATGAGCTGGGTGGGTTAAATCGAAAAATTATGAGCTGCTCAATAAAACTGAACTGAATATCACTGTAAATATTATTTCGGTTTTCCATTGTTATTGCCAGGGAAAGAATAAAGTTCAGAGTATTAGAGTGCAGGAAAGGAACTGGAATGTCTATTTGCTGTTCACTGTACAGCTTAGAGTGACACTTAATCAAAGTGATCTAAGAAATGCAAGCTATAACTATCACTGTGTGTAGCTCAATTTTATTCCGCAATCTCGAGCAATTAGTATTGATGTTCAGCTCATTCTGTTGAATTGCCAGACTGTCTATTTCTGCTATCATCTCCACGGCAGTATGCCACCAGAATGGACCGAAAACTAATAAGAACAAAAAAGATCATAGAAACAGCAATAAAATGATAACCACACAATAACGCAATAACGTGCAAAAAATAACAAATCATAATGATAAAGGATATCAAGCGATTTAGTGAATCCTTTCAAAGTAACTCTAAAATAAATTATTTAAAGACAAAATGAAGAACGAAAAATCAGCCCATTTATGAAAATAACAACAAAAATTATAACACCAAACGATTTTGGGCATTGCAACTTCAAATATATTATAACAATAATAGTGAAAGTAAAAATACCAATGTTAAGCATGAATAGGCAAATAATTCGATTCTATTAATATGGTAACACTCACATCAATGTATATTTACGCATAAGCAACTTAAACCGAACAGGAACACTTGTTCTAAAAGACGATTGTTATCAGATCATTTGAAATGATTTTAGACTGATCAGTAATAAGTAACTCGAAACAGGAAGATGGAATATATCAAGTCTATGCAAACAAGTGGTTTGGACAGATTTCACAATCTTATTATTCGATTGCCATCGCTAGTATTATTTCAAAAAATAAAAATAAAAAACACCAACAATTATGAAATGATAAAGTAATAAGTAATCTTAAATTAATAACGACGAGATGAATATTTATTGGTGGAGTACGAATCATATTTAGAATATGGCTTCTCATACGGCTTTCCATACGAAGAATGTGCTGCCGTACTATGAGATGAACCGTATCCTCCACTGCTATTCGACGGCCATTCTGCACCACCTCAAATTAACGATATCATCATTATGAATTACAGTATCCTTAATACTACGCCAAGAAACATCACTACTTTTTACAATGAGTATTTCTGATTTATTAGCCATACCTTTTATGCACTCTGCTGTACATCAGTTAGCACAGAAACTGCTCCATAATATGAAAGAAAACAAGATGCAAACCCTATTGGAACAATCGTAACCTGTCTTTGGTGAGTCACTCTAAAGCATTTATACCATCTCCAGAGATGTAAAGTAGAACTCCCAATTTGATGCAACACTACATGAGAATGAATGCAAATTGATGTACTTAACTCAAGATCAACTTTATACAAATAAAGTGAATATCATATCGAGATGCGGTCACTGATTATGATGAGAACATTTTATGGTGTTGTATTGAATAAGGATTTAGAATGTGATTATTCATCACCGTGCACGCATTACGATGATTATCACGAGTGGATATTTTTCATGGCTTGTAAGATATTTCATTAATTTTTGGAGTTTTCATTTACGGATTAAAACGTAATGTAATTCGGATGGATCGTAGTGCACTCCACAACCCCAACTGGATGCGGATAATTCAGTGAAAATAATCACCTATCTCACTTTCAGTGTGCAATGGATTCTCCTCGTTCACTACATAGCAAGAAAGCTGATTGATGATGAGATAATACCTCGGCGTCGAATAAGAATAAAATAAAACAAAACGTAATGTAATTTAATACAAACTATGGTATTGTGAGGACCGCCATTGGTTCGGAGCATATGAATTAGTGGCAGGCATAGCATTGTTAGAAGCGTTATGATGAAGTTGACTGGGATTAGATGACTGCGTCATCATCATCATCCACGCGTTACTGTTATGAGCATTACGATGTAAGGCGCTGCTGCTATGCGAACTAGCGTTCGGATTGCTATTGTACAACTGATCCGTGAACGAAGCGCTGCCCGTTGAATTCAGAATCACTCCTCCTCGTCCACCTCCACTATTCGTCGTCCACTGCACACTGCTCATCGCATTTCTATCATCAACATCATTCACGCGAGACACGTTCAAATTCGTTGCATACTGAGTGTGACCTCGAAATACCATTATTCAGATACTATCAAAACCACGTGTGGTGATCACTGATAATATCCTTTTCCTGCTGTCACTTCTTTCATTCTCATTTCATTTTATCTTACCACCTCTCTTCGCTTGAGTTGCTCGACGATCGTTTAACTGTCGGCCATAAAGTTCAACCCGTTGCGAGTGTTTAGCTGAACATTCGACTAAAATCCACCGTTGACCACTCTCTTCAGCTGACAACCGTCTTTGCTTGGAATATTCGTTGATTGACTGTTTACAATTCCATTTTCACATCACTGAGTATGGATGTTCCTTAAGATATCTTGTCGACACTTTGCAATTGCTTTGAATGATCATTCGAAATTTCCATTCCACACACTCAACTCGTTCCATTCCGTTATTTCATCAACACAGGCGTTCCCAACTGCCTACGCTCACTTTTAAGTATCAACGTAACTGAGTTACGCTCTGATTTTCGGTATTGCAGTCACAAAGAACTATTTCTTTAAGCATATCAAATACAATCCCCACACTTCCAACATTCTTAGATAAACGCACAAAATGAGCTCTCCTCGGATTAAGTGCGGTTTCTGAGGTGCATCTCATGAAGATATCATTCTGAAATTGTCGTTGATGAGTCAGATGAACATATTCGAAGTTGATTGCTGATGGGATGTTGCATGTTCACGAGACTGAGCACAAAACTGCAGAGTCGACGAGGTGATCATCTGTACGATTGAAATTGAATCTTTTGATGGATGCAAACACACTTGTACGTGACTTTCGTATAATGAACTTGATTTTGATGCGTTCACCAACATCAATAACTGATGAAGTCGTTTTGCTTCAATGCAACATTCTTATATTGCAGACTCAAGCGGTGACGGCGATCCACTGCTGCTGCTGCATAACACTCAACAAGAAGAAACTTTATGGCCGATTAGAAGAGAGCGTTATTGTTTAGGGTGGAGGGAACAAGGGTGACGACTGACTGACTGCATGTGTCATAGAAGTTGTGTGTGGTGGATAGATGATGCGCTTGAATATCGCTTCAAATAATTTTCTGAATTTTCACTTGCATGCTTATTATCATTAATTATATTACTGACCATAAAAATTACATTTTTCTCGTTAACAACAATACTGAAAAATAACGCAATATAAATTTTACACATTCCCAACATTCAACTCTACCATTCACAATAAACAATTGCACCACAAACTTTATGCAGAAATAGTTATGTTTGCAAATTGCCGCAACATTCGGCTGCTCCTTTGCTTATCAGCTGTCTGAACTGATTGTAAAATCAAATAATAATGCTAAACTTTATTGCAGATCATCAGTGAATGTTACTCTCAACTTCACTCTTCAAACTGAACAATAATTAACCTATGAACTTATTTGATGATTTATATTCGTCAACCATTTCAGTCATAAAACTGACGAATTTCCGCAGAACTGCCACCGCAGAACGAGTGCATCTTACGATAATGCATACGTTATGAATGTGTAAAGAATGAAGCAATACTGTGCAATGTAATATATACTATAAATATAACTAACCACTGAAATAGCATCACTAGACGATAATCATTATTATTACTATTATTATGAAGAGATAAAGACACTAACCGTACGAAGGAACAGCAGCACGTGATGACTCGGTTCTTCGCCCGAACGAATCGCCTCGATGCCGATGCTCATAACCACGCACGCTTGACGATCCATATTCGTATGTATCGCGCATCACTGAATGTTCATGATTCATTAATACGCCAATGAATATTCGTGCACTTATGCATTCAAAAATTCATTATGCACATCAATTCAGTGTCAAAATCCAATATATAAATGATACTGAAATATAGTGAAATAGAAATGAATATAAGAGCGGCACACCATGTCTGCTACGATCACGCTCTCGTTCACGTTCCCTTTCACGTTCCCTCTCTCGTTCGGCCGTGCCACCTCGATGCGAGTGCACACGCGATCGCAAGTCATCGTCTCGTGACGACTCACGTCTCGTATCACCTCTCGCTCCGTACATTGACGACGATGTCGACGAGATGTGTCGTGCTGACGACCGATCGTTTCCAACACGCGAATCTCCTCGCCTTCCACTGCAAAATACATGATTCTTTTTGCATTTAATTAATCAGAATCACTTGATTAATTTAAATAAATGAAAATGATTCACAGATCACATATAGTTGAAATCATTACGGATAGCAATAACGCGAACGCATAACTTCGCATAGAGCATTAACTCAACGAACCTTGACATATCCATATCGTCCACATCGTAGTTGGATGTACGTGAGTGACGCGATGACTGCACGTGTAGCATTGAGGAGGCACTGCCAGTGCCCGTGCCGCCACTCGCCACGTTCATGTTCGTTGACATGGCCGTCACCTGTCTCAACTGCTCCAACTCCAATCGTTCACGTTCAATACGCTCACGTTCGAATTTGATGCGTTCACGTTCACGTTGCAATTTCAACTCTTCCTCCTTCAAACGAAACTCCTCTTCACGTCTCCGCATCAGATTCATCATCTCACGACGATCCCACGACGCAGAGTCTTGTGACGAGTGGTGTCTTGACGGCAGCTCACCGCCTCGATACGATGCGGACAGTGAGGATGCACCCGTTCCGGATGGGTCGTAGAATGATGAACGCGCGGTGGACGATCGACTTGGTAACATCAACGAGCTTCGATGCATACCACCACCACGACCGTGATAAGTGCCGCGATGATGTGTGTTGTGGTGCGGATCATAACGAGTGCTCACTGAAGATACTAACGGACGACCACGAGTGGACATTAGAATGCGTGTGGCACCACGTGAGCCACGTGATGAGAATGAGCCTCGATAGGGAGGACGTGATGAGAGTGAGATGCGTGTGGGTTTACGGGACGATAGAGCACCTCGGATGGGTGCTCTGTGGTGGATCAACGGTCGTTCGAACACTCGACGTCCTTTGCGGAAGACCGGTGGGGATCGGTTACGATGTGATGACGATGAAACGGTTTTCGACGACGATACCTCGGCTGCCGATCTCGCCTTTTCTGCAATTTTTTATACTCGGATACGCATTCCCCGCATCCTTCATGTACGAACAAATAAAACTACAATTAAATTTTTCGGTTATCACACCCCAATAAAATAATAATAATAATACCTGAACTCGATTTGCTCGGTGCAGTGACGGGAATCCGTTTCGTCTTCGACGGTACCGTCCTGCTGCTCGTACTACTGCTACGAGCTGCTTTCGCGTCGTCGTTTTGCTTCCGATCACTCGACCTCTCCACTTTATCACTTTTTCGTTTTTCTGAACTCTTCTCGTCCACAGTTTTCACTGACTCTTTATTCTTACTGCTCGGAGTACTGCTGCTCGCTGTTGTGGTTGTCGTCACTTTCTTCTGTGTTCCTGACTTCACGGCAGGCATGCTTGAATGATCCGCCTTAAATATTCACCATTACATTTAGTCGATCCAATTTCGAACATTTATTTTTTTTCTTGGTCGGTGATAAACACGTATCTCTCATCATAAAAGCAATAAGAATTGAGGTAATCTCGCAATGGAAGTGTTCATTTTTACGCAATTACGATAACTAAGTAATTCATTGCAAGATGGTTCGCTGTGAAAGTTTAGTCTTTGGACTTACTTTACCGTCTCTGTAGGAGGATTCCAAAAATAAAATGTAATAAATCATCGGTTCTTTCGAATTATGATGAATAACCTCATCAAAAACTAAACAACAACAGTTCACGCATTCGATCGATCAACAGACTGATTAAGCTGCAATAATCTAGAAAAAGGATCAAATCAAAAACGATATGCCATGACCCAAATGAAAAGAATATACCCTTTCGACAGTGACCAAATGCCCATTGATATGCGTTTTGTTGAATAAACGAATACATTCCTCAGCCGCACTCGTGTCCACCATCGTAACGAACCCAAAACACGTACTCGACGGTTGCTGACGTCTCGTGAAAATCTTCGCTGTCACTACACGACCGCATTTCGCGAATAACGTCTGAACTCATTTATTCGCACTTCAGTTGGCTAATCAAAGTAAATGCAGAAGAAATCGGTGGGTGCGTAATCAATTAACTCGCAATGCAAAATTGAAACAACTAAAATAAATTATCGAAATTTACTGGAAACTAACTAACAGATCGAAAAATTTTCTCTGCACAAAGGCCGCAGAATCACGTGGTGAAACTATTAATTGTTATTGAAGTTAATGCGGTGAGTGAGGGTGAACATCAACAGGATGATAATATATTTGGTTATTCAATAAAATTCACAATTCAATCTAATCCAATCAAGACGATAAATTACGGATTAACCTTTAGATCAGCGGCTTTCGTTTCCGAGCCAAGACCTTTGATCCAGAGTGAATTGCTCGTTTTCTTGATGGTACTCGCTGTCTTGGCACTACTTACGATGTGTGCCTTCGACGATAGTGACGACGACTGCTGTGCTGCTGACGTTGTTGTGGTGGCTGTGCTCGACTTCTTGTCCTCATCCAACTGCTCCGTGCCACATCCCCTCTTCTCACTATCACCCCCTTTAGCTCTATCATCCTTCTTACTCCTCTCCTCCTCATCACCCTTCTGCACCGTTCTATCCATTCTCTCATCACCGTTCTTCTCCTCACCCTTATTCGCCGACTTCATTTCCTCATCTGCCTTCGACTCGGCTTCAAATGATTCAGATTCCACTTCCATCTTACCTCCCGACTCGTCACCCATCATCCCACCACCTATCATTTTCTCGGTTTCTGAATTTATCTCCGAATCTTGTGCGATCATAATTTCTTCCTCCATTTCGTGCTCATCCTCCGTATCAACATCATTTTTGCCGTCTTCGTCATCCAACTCTATCATTGGCTTAAACAACAAACAATTCAACTATTTCTGAACGCAATTTACATTCCATTATGAAATTGAAGGGATGGGCACTGTAATAATTTCAAATGATTATACGAAATGTTTTGGACAGATTCATTACTCGCTCGCTCGTTCGACTATCGATTCACCGATACAACTTTCATAGATCTTTGGATAACTCTGACTGATCCTCCAAATCCAACAGATAGCTAAGTTTAACGTTTCGGTGGGATGGATTAGTTTTCTTTTCCTCGCTCCCACAAGAAACCTCTGTTACTGTTACCAAACATTATTTCAATTCAGTCTTTTGGGTTGATCTTGATCTCTATGAATGCCTCACTCACTAAAACCGAGCATAGCCCAACACCCAACGGAACATTCCCATCCAAAATGTTCACACATTCCGTCATTTGTAGAAAGCCATTTAAAATGAAATGAATACGAAAAAAATTGGTCAGAATAATTGTTCTTTGATTAGAGTGACTGATTGAGAGAAGATATGAACGAATGAAGGACCTTTTCAGCATCATCAATGAGTAAATTATTTTGCTCTTCTTCATCTTTTTGAGTTTGTTGTTGTCGAGGAGGAGGTGATTTGATTTTACTTTGATTCTGATCATTCTCATGACTTTTATTATTCGAATCATTGCGACAAATCGACACTGTTGTTGTGGTTGTCACATCAACTGCTGTTACTGGTGTGCTGCTGCTGCTGCTGCTACTGCCGTTGCTGGTGGTGGTGGTGGTTATTCCTGATTGTGATTGCGTGACCACTGCAATATTCATCTATATACAGGTATACCGTCCACTTACAGATGATCATTCATCATCGATACCAAACATCCACTGCATGCGCTTTTCACTTTTTCGCTGATAACAACTATACAGATTCCGATTGCTCGGGTAGACGGCACAACGCATTGTGTTCGTGTATTTGAGTGAATGAATCATTTGACAGTTACATCGTAATTTCAGCATTGTTTCCACTTCGAGAATAATAATTCCACGACGACTGAACGCAAAAAGTGAACATCTCATGAACTTGGTGTTCATCTTTCTTGACTGAGTTATCAACTGTGAATCAAAACAGATCGAGTTCTTTTTTTGAGCCGGCACAAGAGACTGCAAGCAACCGCATAATACCAACTCCAAGTGATGTGATGTGAGGGTGGGGTATACCTGTACCGTTTTTCAATAGGATATACGCGAACATTCTGCAGTTTTCGTTTGATTATTTCACGACTTTCTCATTTCACATTGGTCGAACTATTTTCAAATGAATTATCAACTTTTTTGAGTGTTCTTAAACTGCTTCCTTCTGAGAATTAGACAAGCATGCTGATGATTCGATAATTTCATGTGAAACATTACGAAATGATGATAGCCGACTGCATTTCCAGAAGTAATTTCACTGTCAATCAGAATAACAATACACATAACGACACTTCACGCACTTAATCACATGTTCCATTGGCTTCACTGTGCACCGGACAAGTTACCGTCTAGATATCGAATAATCCAATTTGGATGCATATTCTTTGCTTGCGTTACCCATCGTTTCTGCATCTTTTCTATCAAAAACAACAACCCAGCTGACATCATCAACCCTTCACCGTTCTCATCTTCTCAGAAACCCAACATCCATTCGTCCATCCAACCATATCGATATGTTGAATACGGCAAAACAACTTATGATAATAATAATAATAATAATGGCAACACCACACTGCACACCATATGGAATCACCGCAATCAAATGCTTTGATTGACTCATTCTATTCGTTGATGTTCATTGTGAAAATATGTCTTTGCTGTTCAAAATCATTGACATTGCTAAACAGACGATTAAATATCATTTAAGAAGGATGATATTATATTTTTCCACGTTGAGCAAAATTCGAGAGCTGTACGAGGTGATAGTGGCTAATGATGCGAAAGAACGACAACCGTGATTTTCGTTGAGATAAGTACATCAAATAAGTACAATGGTTTGTGCTGGAATCTAAATGATGACACGTGAGTAATGAACCACAGGTGAAACTGATCACTGATTTCGTTGGGATATGAGATAAACTGTTGAAGTCAATGAAAATGCTGATTGATCACTTCATCGGTAGAGCAATCCATACGTTCGACTGCGATAAGTATGAGAGATTTCTCTGACCCAACAAACGTATTGATTGAGCCATTATTGCGGACGAAATCATCAGTTGAATAGTTTCCGATGGAATATCGTCGAAATCATTTCATTTGACACAGCAATATTATCCTTCAGCCACTAGATTAATTCTGACATCCACAAATATTAAATTACGAAAAGCTAAAAATCACAACACGATACCTTTTGTGGGCGTTGAACCTTTGCCGTAATCACCGACACTAAACAAAAATTCGGCTGGATCGTGTCCTTCATCACGTAAAGCCTGAAATAGATTTATATCAGCCGCATGGCACTCTTGCATTTACACGGCTAATGCTTTATAAAATGATGCTGAGAATCGTTTTCATCATACAACTAATAAATTCATGAACCTTTATGCAAAAATATTTGATCAATAAATACAAATTCTAGTTCTTCTGTAAGTAAGAGACGAATGTCCTACCGATTCCAGTCTTTCCACCAAAGCAACTTTAATGCCATTTTTGTCGAGACCACGCTTCTCCAGCTCTTGTTTCAACTCGAATACTCTCAAATCACTGAGCAATGCCATACGTGTAGATGAATCGGTTTTCGAAGCAGATGAATCGGGTGTTCCGTTGTTCACTTCATTCATTGTGGGTGATCAACGATTTTGAAAATTCTTCGTAAATTCTGAAATCACTCTCAATCTGAGAAATTCTAAACGATTTCTTTGGTGCTGTGTTGTAACTTGCACCACGTTTGACCCAATTAAATCTCTCTTCGAATACGCATTTACGTCTGCGGTCGTGTGTAACATGAAACCAGAGCGCATGTAACCATAAAGCATCACACAATAAACAACATTACGTTCTATCAACAATATAGCATTAATAAGCTCAATTTGAAACAGATCATGAAAATGAAAAGTTCGGAAAGTTTTAGTGAATAATGAAATGAGAGCTTTTTGCCTTGTCTTTTGCTGATTGTGAGTAAAACAAAAACGTTAGTTGCATGATGAATGTAAAATATTCCGAACTAATTACGCGCAAAAAACTTATGAAAATTCAGTGACGCAACTTTATCGAAGACAAAATCGAAAGATAATTTTAATTTATCGGCTTCCAAACAAAACTACTGTTAAATCAGACGCAAAAGCGCCAATCAGAATAAGATTATGTCAATGATCACATCGAAATTCGCAGAAAGAGAAGACAAAACGAGTAATCGATTGAACAAGGAAATTAGTACGCCTGTGAGGTCTCACAAGATGTTGTGAGCGAAGTTTACAAAACATCAACACGACAGAGCAACGAAGCAAAACATGTATCTAATTGTATTATCATCGTTTCCGAACAAGTCGGAAATTCAGAGCAAGCCTCAAATAACGACAATCAGATTCAGAGAGGCGAAACATTTTTCGGTGGTCACCGAATCTGGGTTTTCCGTGGCCACAGATCAAAGCAGCAGTTTAGAACAGGAAAATCAAGACGGCATTCATCGGTTCGTGTGCATTCGCAGTCGAATGCGAAGTTTAGCTAGAGCATGCTGAAAATTCCTCATAATGGGAAGTACACAGAGCAGTTCCTCGGTGTTCCGGACATTCCGGACGTTACAAAGGAGATTCCGTAAATTAGAAAAACTGCATCCTAATTCATTAAACTCCAGAGAGCAGAGTTCAACCTCAAACATATCACAGATGTCACACAACAATATTTCACAGCACATGGTTCATCGCGGTTACAAACTAGGTGAACGAGGCGCTAGAGATCAGGAATGCAAAATAATCTAAGCCTTCGGCTAAAAAATACCGCGATTATAACAAAAATACTCATTGAACAAATTGGAAACCGAACGTTGATTCTGAACTTATAACAGAAATAATTCCTTAAAATGATGTTTTGAATGTCTGATAACTGGTTCAAATCAGCATGAAATCGGGGCAGCTTAACAAATGGAATGTGCAGAACAATCGTTATTGCAACTAATACGAGTACAATCCATCCACTCATCATAATTACCGCTAATTAATTAAGAAATCACAATCAAAATGCAAATGAACCGCTTATGCATCGCAACACGCATTCGCAACCCTTGGCTCACTGCCAACAATCGGCCGGCGCAGCGATTTGCCGAATGAAAAGTCCGAAAAATGAGGTTGGTAACAGAAGCCAAATTGCACTTTTGAAGCGACGCGGTCAG